ATTCTGTGGGTACATTAAATTACCTCCATTGCTTTGTGTAGCATCAGGCTGTTGTGACAAGATAGATGACAATAGGTTCTTTAAAAAAGAGCAGCTCTAACAGATGTTCCATTTCTGGATCGAGGGGCCCTATTGATGGTTACAGGCGTTTGCTTCATGCTCTTGGGAAACCTTGGTCAGAACACTAGGCTATGGCACCTGCATTGTGGAATCTTCTCTCCTCCCCTACCCCGCCTGTCTCAAGATAATGTCAGCCTCATCACTTCTGATCTTTGGGAGATCCCTCAAGACCTGGCTCTGTCAGCAGGCTTGGTGACTTCAGGGGATAGGTAAACTTGTGAGGGGGCTCCGTTATTATTATTATCCCGCCATCTATTATTTTCTTCTCCCGTTTTAGTACTATTTTTACAGTTTTAATGCTTTTGTTGTTGTTGTTGTTATTATTATTATTATTATTATTAAGCACTTTTTAGGTAATGATTTCTTTATACATTTACAATTTGATTGTATCAGAGACACTTTCTGTGAGAAGAGCAATCATATAATAAGCCTGGATTTAACTTCTTTAAAAATAACATTTATGCTAGTAGCTGATATGAGAAACACACTTTGTAACGGAGAGTAGGGTAAAATGGCTACATATAAAGAATCAGACGTTTCTGCCTTCCCACCCAAGAAATTCTTACAGCAAAAAGGCCCACAATGAGAAGCAGGCACAATAGGACATGTCTGGCCAACTGTTGGTCTCCTGTTTGCAGAAGCTGTTCTTCCTGAGCCAGGACACACCTCTGAGAACTGCATGGACTCAAACACTGGTTTGCTGAAAAACATTTAAGTATTAACACATAAGGCATAAACACAACACTGAATCCTGTTGTTCTCTTAACAACAGTCATAAGAAAAACAAGAAAATGAAAACATGATCAAATGCTGTAAGTCAGGGGTGTCAAACGGAATTTCATCAGGGTTGTTTTTGACCTTGGGGGTGGACATGGCCAGCTTGATGTCACTTGTGTTGGGGTCACCTGTGGTAGCCCGAGTGCTCTGTCAGCGAAAATGGGCTCCCAAGCTCAGTTTTTGGTTGCAATGGCCTCCTGCAAACCTGTCAGCGAAAACGGAGCTCAGGAGGGCCACCCGAGTTCCATTTTTGCTGGCAGAAGCACTGTGGGCCGATCCTTCACTGTTTCCAGGGTCACCCTGCTGGCCAGATCTAAGCACCCCGTGGGCTGAATCCAGTCCCCGGGCCTTGAGTTTGACACCCCTGCTCTAAGTAAACAGAAACGGCTCTTGTTGATATACAAATGAAAGTGAACATATGTGTCCCAGGATAATGTTGCAGGATCCAATCTGGGTTGGTCACTGGAACCAGAAATTTTTTTTGGTCTTTTGAGCTTTCACACTCGTGCTGAAGCCCATTTCCAGGGAATTCCCCCGAAGATGGGGGGAGGTTCCCTGAAGATGGGCTCCAGCACAAGTCCAAAAACTCAGAAGACAAAAACTCTCATCCAGATTGGATCCTTGTTTATATAAGCCAAAATGCTTGGTTTAGAATTGGCATGCTTTATCTGTAAACCATAACTTATGATAGGTATAGGAAACTTGCTGTCCATTTGCAGTCTCCCAATATTCTAGGTCATGGCTGCCAAACTCCCAGCCCGCGGACCGGATGCATCATATACTGGCCACTCACACATCCGGTTATTGAAGAGGAGAAAAAGTCCTGATACATCATATGACACAGCCGTGATGACGTGAGTTTGACACACCTCTCTAGGTCAATCCCAGAATTTATCAATGATATTCAATTGCTCACTTTAAGTTGATCATTTCAAAAAAGAGGAAATTGAATGTTAATATGGACAAGAGTTGGTTTGCTTTGTGGTGAGAGAAAAAAATACTTTTAAAAAAAAACTGCAAATGTAATACTGCATGGACTTTTTGTTAAAACAAGATTGATTGATGATTTTGGGATTCAA